TCTGGTCATATTTGTTTACTCTTACTTCTATAATAGTCTCACTTATATATAATTTAAAAAAGTTAACATTATTACCTATTCAACAAAAAAAGAATAGAAATCGGTATAGAAACATCAAACTTATACATGAAATACGCTAATAAGCCATCGCGCCCGTTGTGCGTGAATACTGAATCATGCTATAAGATTTATTTTTGTGTCATGGTTACCGCTGGACGCGGGTCGCGGCGGTAGAGTAGGGTATAATGGTTTGGAGTAACACATAGGCTTTTTATCCCTGGGAAAGCGACGGAGCCGCTGGCATAAGCTAGTCTTGAAATAAATGTCCAATATTTACTTCAATACCACTTTGTCCAATATTGACTTCGCCGTCAAGCAAGCCATTACCTCGCGACAACTGCAAGGAGACCGGCCTATGTGGCAGTCATTGGAGGAGGCCTAAGTTCAGCAGTGGACGTCCTATGGCTGACATGATGATGAATTGCAAGGAAAACAGAATTATTCAGAACTTAATAACAATGAAACACATATTTTTCTTTGTTGCAACTGAACTCTTTACATCCTCTTGTGCTGTCTATTTATGGTCTGTAATTAGCACATACGTGAGATGCCAATGTTTCCTCTAAACATATTGTTCGTGACAGACCAATTCACTGTAAACTATACTCAATGACCTTCGGTTCAGTCATTTACTTAGTATTGGTTAGCACTGCACTGAAAATAGCTCAGTAAACTATGTACATAAGATTCATATTAGAATATGTTACAATTTATTATTATACACAGAGTTTTTTTTTTTTTTTTTTTTTTTTTTTAAGGGGGGAAAATCATCGAATGACTGCCCCCGCCTGGGTGAGGCGGGAGGGAGTGTCAGACTCTTACTGACTAAAAACCACCCCGTTCCTTCTCCTGCACGTCGAGCCGGAGCCCCGGTTACCCGTTAGGTTCTCCGCGACTCCGAATCGGCATCGGCCCTATTGGGCCCCATCTGTGGTGGTCTGATGGCTCTTTGAGGCGCGCGCGGAACGCGACGCGCCGTACGCTCGGGTCTGTTTCTGGTCGGACGGGGAGCCACCCATGCTCGCCGTCCGCAGGCCCGCGCTTACGGTGGCCGGAGATCGTCCCGCGATCCCCGACGCCCGGTGTGTCCTTCGCGATGGCTGGGTTGCGAGGAGGCAGCGCTTCGCTGCCTCACGCGTCCCGCCTCCTCCTTAGCTAGCATGACTGCTTCGCAAAAGGAGGAGACGGCATCCCAATCCCCCTCGCTCCGCATCATGGCCTGCACTAGGCCCGGACGCGAGAGGTCGCCATCGCCGATCACTTCCCTGAGGACACGGCGGTGCTCAGCCCACGAAGGGCATTCTCCCACCGTGTGTTCCACCGTGTCCTCAGGGCGGTCCTCGCAGTGATGACACCCGGGCGTTTCCTCCCGCCCCATCAGACACAGGTACCTCCCGAAACTTCCATGTCCGGTGAGGACCTGCGTCAGGCGGTAGGTGAGGACGCCGTAGCGTCTCTCAAGCCACTCCTCAAAGAGGGGACTTACCGCTGCGATGGCAGCGAGCCCAGCCCTCGGTTGCGACAGTCGTTGCTGCCATTCCGCCATGAGATCGCGCCGGAGCTCATCCCGCCACGCACCTATCTGGCGCGGCAGCGGGGTTTCGCCCCGGCGACGTGCCTCCGCGCGCATGCTGTACAATTATACACAGAGTTAAAAGATGGTTAAACTTAGATAGCATTATATAATGTAGACTAATACATTATAGTAGTTAGATCAGCTCCAGACTATATTTTTTATTGTCCTTAAGGGTATTTTGTTTTTCGATCTCTTTGACTACATTTGAGTGTTACATTGTTCTCGCATAATCGAACCAACAAAACTATGTAACTAAAGAATTGTATTGTGAACCTGATTGAAAAAGAGTAACCTATGGAGTTTCTTGCTCGTTCTTTTCTATAGGAATTTACACCATGGAATGAGCAAATAGTTTCATTTTTAATTTTTTGTTGACGCTCTAAAGTGCCTTTCTGATAACACATTACATAACATCACTCCTTTTATACTCGAAGGGGTCGGCAGAGGTGCACATTTCGGCACTTAATGCCACTGTACAATGCAACACCTACTTTTCACTATTTATGTTATGAGTCCCATGTAATAGGGGGTGAGCCTACTGCCATATAATATGCCGGGCACAATTCCAGACACCGTGCTACCACTGTCATTTAAAAAAAAAAAAAAAAAACCAGTAGTACTTTGCCCGAACCGGGAATCGAACTCGAGACCCCTTTCGCACTGCACTCGCACTTGCGACAACTCGGCCAACGAGGCAGTCTGATCTAATTGAAATAAATGATTTTGACTTTGACTTTTAGGCTTTAGTACTGAACCATTTTAATATTTAAAATTTACTAAGTACCTACCTATAAATAACTAACTGCACTTTGTCCATTTACTGTAATAGGTTGTAAATCGCACTCGATAAGTCATTGGATTGATAACCTATCAGAGACTCATAAATCACTTGTACGTAGGTATTTAATTGCAATTGCAGCCAATCGTACGTACAAGAGGCAGATAAGGGCGGGTTGCAATGAGATGCAATTGCATATTATGTTGAATATATCTATAGGTAAATAACCGATAACGTATCGTATAATAACGCCTTTCATTCTCTGGAGTATGTTATTATCAAATAATAAATAAATAGCATTTGCGGCTGCGGTTTCGCACGCTTTAATTGGGATGATGCCACGCTATGAAAATTAAAAAACTAATTAGTTCGTAACTTAGGTAATAAAAAATTATTAGCCACGTATTTTTTTATTTTGTCGTATCATAAAACAATACTTAGATAAAACTAATCAAAGGTTAGTAGTGGGGGCTAAAACGTCATTTCTACGTATAAAATGTACATAGCAATGACGTCACGCGACATTTCAAATCAATACACCTATAGTCGAAAGTAATCGTTTCTGTACGAAAATAAAAAATACGTGTCTAATGATTTAAAATAATCTACGACGGACATTAAAATAAAAATTTGGCTATTGTATTGTAAATTTTACAAATCATCCTCTTGAATCACCCTATCTATTAAAAAACACATTAAATTCCATTGCGCAGTTTTAAAGATCTAAGCATACATAGGAACAGATAGTGGAAAGTGACTTTATTTACCAATGTTGTGACTAAATGTAACACTCACTTTTCTCTATTTTACTATTTTTCTGCAATATAATGAAAAAGTTTCACGACCATTATGTACTTATTTATTTATTTTTATTTCAACACTTTCGTTTGTTTTTATAATAACTATCATGAGGTACTAAATTAACTACAGCCTACCGACAGCAGAGTTGGCTTCGCGACATCGCCGCAATCGCGCACGCTACTCATGAGGAAGAGCCCCTCTGTGGCTGGAAATTAGTAGAGCTTATCTCAGTATTTTCTAGATAGTTACCCGCGATTTGTAGGTAACTTTTGTTTGTGATACACAAATCCTGGTGACCTGGTACTACAAACAATGTTAATTACGGATGTAGGTATACGGAATTTTATGTAAAAAGGACTTTGTTTTTATTTAAGTGTCTGTCAAAAGATTGAGGTTCTCAAAGGTAAAGCAATTATGGTGATACCTTTTATGTTTTATTTTGTTCTAGCTTTTACCTAGCTCTTCAGTTTTATTTACTTTTATCCTAGTTTCACGCGTCGTAAGTAGGTACTTACGTAGTAACATTTTTTACAAATAATTTTTTTTAATTATTGAAGGACAGTCGTCATCAAAGTTATAACATAACATCTCGCCTTTTATCCCCGAAGGGGTAGGCAGAGGTGCACACAGAAATGACACCCACTTTTCACTATTTATATTATGAGTACCGTGTAATAGGGGGTGAGCCTATTGCCATATACCGGGCACAATTCCAGACTCTGTGCTACTACTGAGATTTTAAAATCACAGTACTATTTTGCCCGACCCGGGAATCGAACCCGAGACCCCTTGCCCGGCAGTCCCACTTGGGACCACTCGGCTAATGAGGCAGTGAAAATTACCAGGCGGACATTAAAATAAAAATTAGGCATCTACCCTATTCTTTTATTAACTGCATTTACTTCCATCCACCCTAATTTTTGAAGTCGAATTAATACACTATAACCCTCACCTAAGGGCAACCAACACTTTTCTGAAAACCACACCAAAGTCGGTTCAGCCAATCGTCAATAAATCGCGCAGAAACATACATATACAAGCCAAACTCTAACTGAGAACCTCCTCTGTATTGTAGCTGGTCTTTTTAACCGTAATTTGCAAAAGAATTATAAAGTAAATGATGTTTTTTTCTGATTATTTAGTTCTGGCTGTACGCAGTCTGGAATTGTGCTCGGTTTATGGCAATATACTCATCCCCTTTTACTCTATTGTATGAAACTTGAACTGTTAATATATTAAGGGAAAAGTCGTTAAAATTAGCAATAAAGATATTATGCTTAGGTATTTGTCAAATGCCTACATTTTTGGGCAAAATCAAAATCATTTATTTCAATTAGACCAGGAAACTTTAAGCGAAATTAGCTTTTGAACGTCAACAAAAAATTTTAAAGTGAAGTTTTTATTTAGCTCATTCTAAGGTATAGATTCTGATAGAGAAGAACGAACGAGACAATCCATAGGTTAATAACTTTTTTCCAATCACAAACACACATTATTGCGAATTGAATTATTAGACCTATTCAACTTTACTTTTTGATTCATTAATTATACCTATTTAAAAGGTCATAGATACGTTTTAATAATCCATATTTATACCTTTCGTAACAACCTTAAAAATAGTTTTAGCAACGGTTAAATTACACAATATATAAACATTGGTAGCTTAAATACATAATATTCAACGTTAACGTAGATAGCTTCTTTGATTCTTAAATTCTTTGATCATCGGGATTCCTTTAAGTATAAAATGAAAGGACAATCGCTTTCCTGTTTGCCCCCACTTACCTTTCATTTTCACTTCATCTCTCTAACTGTTGATATAAGTACTATTTCTTCGGACCCCCCTATTTGTTTTTCCTGAATTTATTTAAGGCACCTTATATTTATATTCTACTTTGTATTACCATTTTAATTTTACACTGATCACTTCCTTTACATCCAATAGCTGTTAAGTGTTAATTTATTATTCAGTATTAAAGTATTATTTTCAGTAGTTATTCAAAACAATAAGGACACAATATTATTTACGGATGCTTGAAAATAGGGTATCACTTGTTAAAATCGGTTTTTAATATGCTTTAGATATCTTTATTTTCATGTTATTATATATTGTGAATTTCCTTTTTAATTTAATAATGAAGCTACGTTTGTAATTAATTTTTAAAATTCAATTTTGTGCTACGAAACCAAAACTAGATTTATTTGAATTTTGTAGGTAGTTTATAATGGGTATACTTGCAATTACCAATATATATCTACAACGAGAAGTAATTATAAACAACTGCTTTGATCATCACTTGACACAAAATCAACGAACGCAAACTTTCGGGATGAATTTTCGCGGAAAATTGGCGCGCTTTTCCTCGATTCCTGAAAACCGTGAGGCGCGCCCGACGACCGTTCCACGACTGAAAGCCTGAAACGATAGACATCACACCTTGATATCTCAGTTTTATTAGCGAGAGTACTCTAACAAGTGTATGTTTACATACATACATACTTGCTATGTAATTGTGTATGTAAGCACTTCTGTTGACATTTTTGGGGAAACTGTTTCATATTACGAATATTTAGGTGCTTACATGTGTTATCAGAAAATCTTTTAGGGAATATAATTTCAGAATGATTTATAACATAACATAACATCACGCCTTTTACGTGCACATTACGGCACTTTACCACACAGTGTAACACCCAATTTTCACTATTTATGTTATGAGTCCCATGTAAAATTATATAGCCTATAATATATTATATCTAAAATGAAATGTTTTATATAAAATAAAAATATTACGCTAAAAGAGCCGAGCACGAGCGGAGCACGAGCCGATCACAATTCCTCTAGTATGGACCGTCTTGAACGAGCGCTCTGCGAGCATTTCGTTCGTGCTGCGTCTCGCTTTGCTCTCGCAGTGCGCTCACCAACTGCAGAAAAACTACGTTAGTAGTGGGAATACGCCGGTTCTGGCTCACGCGTTAGACCGGTCACAACGACGAGAATCAGTCGCACCAATCCTAAAAAAAAAAGGTTTTGGCATGCTCTGATCACGTTTCTGCAATCCTTTTTAGCGTAGGATACGTGGTTCTGGAGTTATGCAAATCAATTTATTGTTATCTCATTCATTTCCGGTGGTCCTGCACCCTCATCAACGCTCCATTGTTCGCCTAGTCCTTTCTTATCTATACTTCGAACACTCTTTTGGCGTTCTTATCTATTACTCATTGTTAACCCTCATTATCTTTCATTTCCTATGTCATCAATAAAACACAACCATTCATTTTTAATTTCGAATTTTATTACTTTTTGCTACAAAATATGAGTGGAACATCTCATCCACAAAAATATCATTGTACAGTGTGTTCCCTGTAAATATGTTCGTAAAACTATGCATTGAACATCTCTGAAACTTAAATAGCAAATACATTAAGCAATATTCACCACAAACTGAAGTCCAATCATTCTGAATCCTATCAACATTCCAGTCCCATCTCTTACAATTCCTTTTCAAAAACTGAAGATGATATCGCTCAGGTGTTCGTCCATATGAATCAAAATATTGACCGATGCCATTCACATCGATATGTACAGCTACCCAGTGTGAGCCTGGTTTATCATCCGCATCCAAATTGCATATTATATACGTTGGTACTTACATGTGTATACATTGATAAATTTTTTGAAGTGACACCAAAAATAAAAATGAAGAAGCTGCTATCGTCAACTGTGGTACGAGCTGCTAGAGATGGCGTATCATACATCTCTACAAATTCTGACGACGGAGACCAAAAGACGCATCTCATAAAAATTAAAATCATACATTTTAATTTTATGAAGATTTAATTTTATAAATATGAATTTAATTTTATAAATATGAAGAAACTATCCAAGATTCCTATTAGTGATCACTGGAAGCACGCTACGACGAGGATTAAATGTTACGTAAAGAATAATAAGGATAGCATCTACGACAACACAAACGGTCTCGTATACAATATTACAAAGACAATAGCAGAAAGTGAAAAAGTTAAAAAATACTTTTTTAACAATGACACTCATTAGTGGATTAGTGAATGTGATTCTGTTTACTTAAAGTACTTCTGTGTACTCATTAGATCCAAGGAGCTGCAGTCTTGTGATGCTGAGAGAAAAACAATAGCAGAAGGAAGAGGTGAGTGTGGTATACGTGTACAGAACTCTTCTTGGAAAAACAAAACTACAAAACTGATTGGAGAAGAAAAGGTGAAGAATATGCTTTACCCAAGAGCTAAATATCCATTTTTCAGTTCAAAATCTAGACGGTTGATGAGTTTCGAAAACTAGCCTCTCGTTATGCAGCAGAAGCCCGAAGATCTTGCAGAAGCCGGTTTCTTTTATACTGGCCATGGAGACAGGACCAAGTGTTTCCATTGTGGTGGTGGTCCAGCAATTAAATTACAACTCTCTCTTGGCCGAACTAATTCTACACTCATTTCATGAAGATGACCAATCATTTCTACTTCCCTGCTTTCATTAACTAATTCCTGTCTTTTAACAAATCCAATGTTTTTACCATCTGTGGAATCCATTTTTCCTGCTGTATCATCATACAAAAGACTACAAGTAAGATGAGATTGTTTAGCAGCAGGAGCATAGTTTAAAAGGGTTTCCATGTATGCTCGATAAGCATAGGTATTATTAGGTGGTGATACAAGTTTTTGGTTTAAATAAATATCGAGTTGACTAAAAAGTGAATGCAACCAATTATTTACAGGTGCTACTGCTGTAGCTGATATCAAGTTTGTTGAATCTTGATTTAATACTTTTGCCTTTATGTGGAGTAATGTATGAGACAAATCTATGTAGTCATCGCCTGTTCCAGGAACTTGAAACTCGATAGGTCCATCATCAGCAAGAGATGAAATTGGTTTATAGTGAATCCACAATCCATTTTCAATGCTTGTTTTGTTTGTGTAGACGGTAATGCAAACAAATCTAATTCTGACTTAACGCACTCACAAGAATGAGTATAAAGGAAAGACATACTTAATTTGAAAATATATCTTTGATGTTTTTTGGTATTAGACCAAGTTTTTTCGTAGCTTTCACTTTCGCTGTTAGTAGTGGAATGAACGAGACCAATCGTTTTCTTTTAGTTTCCAGATCCTACCCAAATCCCCAGATAGTACCCAGATCCTGTCATGTTAAATCGATCAATTTTGTCATCAGCCTTTCGTTTTAAGTTAGTACTAACTTGCTTTAGACGATCTTTTATTGAGGCTTCCATAGGACGGGCTTGAACCATATCTGATAAAAGTCCTACTCCAGCATTTAATGCCTCCTTACCAACCACTCGAACACCACTTGAAAGTAAAGGTAAAACTGATCTAAATAACCCTCCTAAGAAGCTCCCAATACCATGACCACGTTGGTATGGTGAACCCTTATAAATTACTCCAACTCCTGATCCAGCTTGATGAGAATAATAATTTTCGTATGGACATTTATGATGATCCTGATGAGAATACATTATTATAATTTGTGGAAATGTAGTTTAATACACACGGTTCCAAACTGGAATGGGATTTTTTGTCCTGTGCTCGATCTTATATCTATTTCTAACGTATCGAACTCTCTTCGCACAACAGGTAAGTAGTGAGGTGGAGAGAAAATGTGTATTTTATTCGCACCATAAATGTATTTTGAAGGATCTAATGAAATGACTCTTAATAGCGGAGTCATAACATCACCCACAATCTGAGGATCGATAATATCGCAATATAGAAATAGTTGTGATGGTAACCCTAAGTGTAAATTAGCAGGACACTTCCCAAAATTTCTGTCTAGGAGATTTGTATTTGGTTCATAACCTAGTTGTAAACTTAATTTGGGTGATAATGTTATGGATGTTATATTTTTATCCAAAACAGAAACAGACACAAATTTTGTTATTTCATCATAACGAAATTTCAAGTTCTCTCTGATACTATTTAACGTTTTTAAAATATGTTCAACGTTATCGTAGTTGGTAGCGGGAATATGTTTTTTGTAGTACACTGTTGATGGTTTATCTTCATTAGGCATTAACATGGTTTTTGTGATGTATACAACATTTTCATGATCTTGAACAGTAAACATGGTGCATGGATATTGAAACTCGACAACTCCAACCGACCATTCACCTTCTAATTTCATAGCTTTTGGTAATTTTGTTGAAAAATTTGTGGTCTTGTTATCAGGAAAGTATTCCATTGAACTATTGCTGAGCAAAGTTAAATAAAAACTTTCTTTATTCATATTTCTTGTAAACTAGAAGCTAAAATCCAACTGTTAAATTTATCTGGATAACCTCTCCACTTCACTAATACTTCTTTTCTGTTACCCGAATAACGAGTGACAATTATTTTATCTATTTTATATTTTGAGGTGGGGTTGTAAGTGACCTTCTGTAATTCTCTTTCATAAAAAGTACCAACAATTGGTTCATTTTGTAAATCTGTTATTGTATAAACAACCCATGGAGATCTATCAATTATTGAAGATATAATAAATATTTCATCACTCCAATTTGATTCATATCCTTTTTGGAAAACATGTTTATATTTAGTTATTCGAACATAATCACCCACGTTGAAATTTCGTTTTGGATTTTCTAAAGAAAGTTTGTTTAATCCTCTATCATAAAGATTAGTCCAAACTGTCATAATATTGTTGGAACTTACATCACATGGGCACATCTTAATACTCGAGTGAATGCTATGATTATAAGAGTATATTAAATCTTGTAAAACATCGATATATCTATAAGTAATATTATGAGTGAAATAACGCCACATTTTCATTTTTAGAGTTCTTTGAAATCGTTCAACAATACTAGCCTTAATATCAGGATTGTTAGTGGTATAGTAATTTATCTTTTTGGATTTAAAGTATTTTTGTACATCTTTTGAAATAAATTCTGTACCTTTATCAGATTGTATGACGTTATGAATACATTCACAAATACAATTTATTTCTTCTTCATCACAGGTTTTAAGTAACGCTCTTTGATATTTTGGTTT